TCTTCTTTTCCTTTCTTCATCCACGCCCCCTCTCTCCATTCCACCTCCTTCCTCTCGCTTTTTACGCGGCAAGATTCATCCCAAACTTTGATCGGTAACGCGGGTAATTTAAAACACACGGGACGCGCGCACCTGGCTGACGGCGGCACGCTGCAAAAGTTTTCCTTTTCCGGGGCCCAACATTTTTTTTGCTGCAATTTAAACATCACTACTCCGACCCACTCCGACCCCGTGCCTCCCGCCCATACGGGGCAGTATTTAGTTTTAATTAAATGAGTTCCCCGCTCCCAGATACGTTGTTTTATAACCCTGCAGCCGGCGGTAAATGGTGATGTTGGACATGGGCCCGTCTAGATTTAATCCCGGAGTGCTTCACCAGATGTGAGGACATGAGCCCGGCGACACCCGGCGAGTCAGGCCAATCGGGCTCAAGCTTAAAGATCATTTCAAGCTAGGTGATACGAAGAAGAAGAAAATAATAACAAATCGGAAAAGCACTGCCTTCTAATCACCCCCTTCCCTCCCTCACTCTTCGCCCCTCGCCCAACTGTTTCCTGTTTCGGTTATTCTTTTCTTCTGCTTGTCATGTCGGGGCTTGAGGGCGATCAAGGAGCTCCCCGGAAGCGCCTTCTAAATCTGTTAAAACAGGGTGAGGGGGGTGGTGGGAGAACGTTTTCCGAGCCGTGTCGCGCCCGGGCTCGTGTCCAACATCCAGACAAACATGCCTAAACCGAGCCCTCAGCACCACCAACACCAACATGTCGGTCCTCCCCTCAGTAAGGTGATTTACGCATCGTAACATCAAAGCTCCCCCCCTCTCCCCCCCTTTCGGAAAGGGTGTTCCAGTCCAGGCTATCTAAAATGAAAGTGGTAGAGAACAAACTCACCTACTCATCGGTTTCCGTCGAGCCTGTGTGAGAAATTATCAGAGTGGTTAGGCCCGACTCCGACTTCTCAAATGCAGCCTAGAGATGACCTCGAAACTGATTCAACAGTTTCTCTTACCTAAAAGACTGAAGAGGCGCCTGATCGATCACCTCCACCAATATCCCCTCCACCAATAAGATGAGTGACTTTGTTCGTTTCCAACTACCGTTTGTGAGTGTTGCGTGGCACATAGTGCGGGGTCTTAGTCTTAGTCGCCGAGCTATTATAGCTTGATTAAGCGCAATCGCCCTTCTGGGCCTCGGGCCCCGCCGTCGGGTACACTTCAGACGACGGGACCGGAGAGGAGGAGCCGCGACCTCGCGACCTGGCCCGCCCTGCCGCGCCGACCAGCCGGGGCGTCTGCCGCGAGAAGATGCCGCGGACTCAGCGGCGCTACTCCGCGCTCCCAGAGTCCTCGAGGCGCGGCGCAGCTACAGGCACAGGCTTGAGCGGGGGATCACGGTCTCAGTCTCTTGGAGCACCATCACAAAACTCGAGAAATGTAAATAGTGTATTTCGATTAACGGAGGAAGAAGAATAGCGGGTAGAACAGAAAGGTTTCTGATTGACCGAGCGCTTATCCCCGCTACTGGCGTGACGTAGAGGCGGTTAAGCTCTCGATCAATCGGTAACGTTTGTGTTCTACCCGCTATTCTTCTGACTTTAGTCGAAATACACTATAAACCAAACTCATCGTACTTTTCGACCCTCACTGTAAACTTTTGTCTTTCAATGAATCTTTTCCGAGGTGTAAAAAGCTCATCTAGCTGATAGTATGTGCATCTTGCCAGTGTAGAATGACTGGACCAAGCCAGGTACCCGAATCATTCCAATCGGACTCCAATCCAATAGACTATTTCAGGGTAGGTGATAAGAAGAAGAAGAAAAGAATAACAAATCGGAAAAGCAATGCTTCTTAATCGCCCCCCACCCTCCGCCCCTCTTCGGCACACGCCCAACTGTTTCCTGTTTCGGTTATTCTTTTCTTCCTCTTGTCCCGAAACTGAAAGAGAGAGAGAGAGAGAGAAAGAGAGAGAGAGAGGGGTTATTCTTTTCTTCCTCTTGTCCCGAAACTGAAATGATATATTATTCTCGGTCTAAGGTGTAGAATTTTGAGTAGAACAACTGGCTTAGTACGGTCAAATGGGAATGGGGAGTAGTCTTTCGGCCAAAATTCGGAGTTGGTACTCCGTTGATCCGCTGCGCTTAAACAACTAACTATGCTCCGTCGTGCTCCGTGCTGGCCGTGTCATCACCGTCATGTCACCTTGGACGACACACCTGTACCAACAGCCTGCTTGCCTGCTTCAGCTTTGAGTCTCGCGCCGCCGCCGCCGCCACCGACGGTCCGATGCAAGGTGGTTATGCTCGCGCGTGTCGCTCTGGAAGAGCTCTAGAACATCTCAATGCCCCTCCTTACCTGTCCTGACTGCCTGGTCCCGGTGCTACTATGCGGCCACTGTTGCTTTGCTAAAGGTTGTCCCCTCTAAACTTTTGACCTTAATGCCCCCACCCTCACCCCCCCTCTCCCGATGCTTGCCCGCCCGTCACTGCTGCTGCTCCCCGTATGTGTGTATATGTTGCACGCAGAGCAGTCTGGTTTGTTTACTCGGGCGCTAATTTGGCCCTTGATGCTCAGCGAGCCAAGTTGTAGTGTCCTCCTGCTCTCGGTGCCTCCTAGCTCCTGGCCTTCTGACCGACGCCGGGCCGCGGCGGACTGCAGTGTTTGCCTACCCCCGGGGCGCAGTCTGGCCCCACCCGGGGCGAGTTAGTTTGCCGAAGCCGTGTACGCTGCTCGTCCCTGATACTTACCCCCTTCTTCTTCTTCTTCTTCTTCTTCTTCTTCTTCTTCTTCTTCTTCTTCTTCTTCTTCTTCTTCTTCTTCTTCTTCTTCCACACACCACACATGCACAGTCCCCTGCCAGACTTGAGTCCTCTCCTCCGAGGTTTTTCCATCCAGTTTGATGGATGGCTGCTCTCTCTCTGTGGCGTTATGCCGCCGCCTCCGCTGCTCCTGCAACGACTTTAACTCTCTGCCAGAATCTATTTCCCTCTCCCCCGCCCCTTTCTCTCTCTCTCTCTGTCCTGTGCTCTCCTTTTTAGACCCCCAACCCACCCCTCCCTCTGCGTCCTGTTTCTGCATCTCTCACTTATCGTTAGGGGATGGATCCCCCCGACGTCTTTCTCGGCACGCGTGGCCCTCTCCCACCCCCCAACTCACCC